CTCCAGGGCACCTCCAGGAAGAGCCTGTGCCCCATTGCTGCAGAGAGTAATGAGGATTTTTCCTCATTGCTGCAAAAAATAACAAGGATTTTTCCTTATGGATTTTTCCCCATTGCTGCAGAGAGTAATGAGGATTTTTCCTCATTGCTGCAAAAAATAACAAGGATTTTTCCTTATGGATTTTTCCTTATGGATTTTTCCCCATTGCTGCAGAGAGTAATGAGGATTTTTCCTTATGGATTTTTTCCTCATGGCTGCAGAGAGTAACGAGGATTTTTCCTTAATGCTGCAGAGAATAGTGAGAATTTTTCCTTATAGATTTTTTCCTCATGGCTGCAGAAAATAACGAGGAATTTTCCTTAATGCTGCAGAGAATAGTGAGACTTTTTTCTTATAGATTTTTTCCTCATGGCTGCAGAAAATAACAAGGATTTTTCCTCATGGCTGCAGAGAATAATGAGGATTTTTCCTTATGGATTTTTTCCTCATGGCTGCAGAGAATAACGAGGATTTTTCCGTATGGATTTTTCCCCATTGCTGCAGAGAGTAACAAGGATTTTTCCTTATGGATTTTTTCCTCATGGCTGCAGAGAATAACGAGGATCTTCCCGTGGGCAGGAAGGGCTGGTGGAGGTGGGCAGGAACTCCTGGGAACCAGGGCTGCTCCCTCCCCCAGCTGATTTCTGATCCCCTTTCTAGGTAAATATTTGGCGGATAACTGATGGAACCTTATGCAAGTCCATGGAAAACCCTATGGAAAATACCCAAGGACTGCTGTGCGTGGAACGGGTTTTAATCTCAGTTTAAGGAAAATGAACTAAATCCTGCACTCGGGACATTTCTCTTGGAAGTGTCGACAACTTTCAGCATTTTTTTTTCCTTGGAAAACACCGTCTTGACCAGTCCTCCAGTATTTCCTTCTAGGTGTAACATTGTTAATGGTTTTAAAATGTAATTATTGTATTTGTAAATTGTACTCATTCCAGTAAGGCTGTAATTTTGGCAGTTAGACACTTGAGTTTTAGCATTTTCCCATTCATGAAATGGATGTAATTTAAACTGTGGTATATAAATCTAATCGTAGTACTGTTGAATGGCACAATGCTTACAGAGGTAGATTGCATTTTGTCAATATATACGATTTCAATACGATACTGGTAGCTGTTACGAAGGGGGTGCCTCATCAAAAGAGAGTTCAGTAGGGCCCACAGGCTGATTTAATTTTCCCTCAGTCCTTAGTACGTCTCACAGCGATCAATAAAAAGCTCAGCCTTCAGGTTCAGCTGGTTTAACTCCGGAAAAATATTCTTGGAAAGGCGGAGCTTCCTAGGACAGTCTCCCAGGAAGGAAATCTCACTCCTGCAAGGAATATTCACCCCAAATTTCCAACCCCGTGCTCTCTTAGAACTGCACATTCCCCGTTGGAATCCCAGCAGCGCTTCCCTGCCCCTGCCCGGGTATTTTTGGGGATGGAGATGAGGAAAGAAGCAGCAAAGAGGCACAAAATGTCATTTTTTGGCTCGAGGATGCCTTTTCCCAGCTGCCTCCGGACGCTCCGTTTTTTGCCTCGCTTGGCTGGCTTTTTTCCTGCCTCTCTCCCCCATTTTTTTGAAAGCTCTACGGGTTTAGAAAATGCTTTAAAGACTCGCAGCTGCGCCTGCTTCTCTATTTTAGCACTCAGGCCAGGAAAACGTGGCTGGAAAAAGCCAGGGGAGGATTCCCAGGGAGCAGGAGCAGCACTGGGCTGCTGGGATCAGCCAGGGCAGGAGCCCAGCTCGCCAGCACTGGGAGCAGCTGTCTTGTAGAGATGGGAAAACACGTGGAAGGGCTAAATCGGGGAATGGGGGACAAAATCTTGTCCCTGTGTGCTCTCCCTGCGCCCCTGAGCGCTGCTCATCCCTGCGGGTCTGCCTCCCATGCCAGCCCTGGCAGCACGGGGAGAGCCTCGCTGGCCTTGTGGGGCTGCAGCTGCCTGCTGACCAGCAGAATTTGGCAATTTAAGGGAGAAAAATGCAGGAAGCTTTGTGAAATCAAACACAGATGCACAGAGGGGCAGCCGTGAGAGGGGTGCCGGGGTTTTGGGAATGTGTAAGGTGACCAAAATGTTGATTTTCCCAAATGTCGCCAGGATTAGCGTGCTTTTACACTGGAAAACGGCCTGGGCACGGCGGGAAGGACAACGGAGACCTGTGCCCAGCTTGAGAGGTTTTGGGAATCGTGGGGGATGTTTCAGGGAGGAAACGTTGGGATGTCTCAGGGGTGAGGTGGATTCCAGGCCGAGAGCTGCGCAGTGAGCTGTGGGTGAGCTGGCAGGAGGCAGCAGCAGGAAGGGAAAAGCACAATTCACTTCCCACGGATTTTGGGAGTGCACTCCCCAGTGCTCCACTCCATGAACAATTCTCCCCTGAGCTGGAAATTTGTATCAGGTGTGGAGCTCACCCCTTTGTGACGCAGAAACCCCAAAAATCAGGTTTATGATGGGTACAACTGCTCCAAACCCACCCTTCCAATGCAGATCTATGGCGCAGACCTGGAAAAAAAAATGGATTCATAATGTAAATATTACCAGAACATAGAGATTTGACTTTATATTTCATCTGAAAGACAAGGTGTTTACATTAGCATTGGGTTTTGGAGTGCTTTTTAAACAGAAAAACCCATAACCCAAAGCTCCCAGGCTCATCCTGTTCGAGCTGGGGAACAAAACAGAGGTCGCTTTTTCGGGACACAGCCCTCGTGGCCTGGAGAGAGAGATGGGAACAGCCTGGGACATTTTGTCCCATTTCTGGGCTGTGGGACGTGCCAGCACTCCACAGGTGGCAGGTGACACCAGCCCTGTGACGCTGGGAGCAACAGCAGCGATTTGGGACAGGGTTTTCCATCCTGCTCCTGCCAGATTTTGGCAGAGTCATTTCTCCGAGTGGCTTTGCTGGGGGTTTGGTGAGAGCACTGGCTCAGGGAGGGAGCTGTGCTCAGGGTGGTCACACTCTGCAGGCTTCACCTCGGCTTTAGGAAGGAAAATCTGTGTATTTTCAGGGAATTCTTCTGTTTGGGCTTGCCTGCCCCCTGACAGAGAGCAGGGAGGTGCAATGGCTCTGATTTGGTTCCACAGGGATCCCAGATTGGTTTGGGTGGGGAGGGACCTTAAAAATCATCCTGTTCCACCCC